ATTTATCCATTTTACTGCAGACAAACAATTGGCAGCTTCTAGTTTTTGGCTATTATGAATACAGTTGCTATGATCATTATTGTATTTGTCTTTTGGTATGCATATGTATGTATTTTTTAGTCATATATAATTCCTGGGAATGAAATTGCTGGATTATGGGGTAATGGGATATTCATATATTCATTTTCTTGCCTTACTTCACTCAGACTTTTCGTACAGTGCTTAGCAGAAGTCATCATAAAGAGAATCCTCTTGATCTGGATCTCAAGGGGAAAATGTTCACTACAGGACCATTAAATAAATTTGCTTTAGGACTTTTGTAGATACTATTATAGTTCTCAGATTAAAGAAATTCTTTCAGCCGAAACCAGTTTGGCTCAGTGGATAGAGCGATGGCCTGCGGACTGAAAGGTCCTGGGTTTGATTCTGGTCAAGGGTATGTACCTTGGTTGCGGGCACATCTCTAGTAGGGGATGTGCAAGAGGCAGCTGATAGATGATTCTCTCTCATCGATGTTTCTAACTCTCTATCCCTCTTCCTCTCTGTAAAAAGTCAATAAAATATATATTAAAAAAAAGAAATTCTTTCAAATACTAATTTTCTAAGGTTCTTTCCTATAGATGGGTATTAAATTTTATCAAATGCTTTCTCTATATCCATTGAGACAGCCATATCATATTCTTTTATTCTAAGATGATTAATTTAATTGATTACTTTTCAAAGCATAAACCAACTTTGCATTCTTTAAATAAACCCACTTTTTGTGATATATTATCTTAAAAAACCCCATGTATTAAAAAAGAACATATTGAAAATTAGAATACATTTTATACTGAATGATAATAAAAGTATGCTACATATCATGAATATGACAATTGTATACTATTCTTTTAGTGTCTATCCTTTATTCCAACATGCATATCCTTGATTTACTAAAGTCTAATATAAATTATTACTTTTACAACTTATTGAAAAAGTCATGAAATGTAGAGTACTTTAGCTCCATTTACTCCTCTCTGGACTTTTGTGCTATTACTATTGTTATGTGTTAAACTATGTCCACTCCAAATATATTTTGAAGTCTTAATGACTTGAACAGTAAACGTGATTTTATTTGGAAATTGGGTCTTTGCAGATGTAATCCAGTTAAGATGAGATCATATAAAATTAGGGTGGGCCCTAACCCAGTGACTGGCATCCTTATAAAAAGAGGGATATATGTACACACAAACGAGAAGGCCATGTGAACATGGAGGTAGTAATTATAGTGATGCATCTACAAACCACAAAAAAACCCCACAAGGAATGCTGGCTAATACTAGAAACTGGGAACAGGTGAGAATCTTCAGAGATGGGGTGATCCTACTGACACCTTTTTTATTTTCATGTGACTAGTCTCCACAAATGTGAGACAATACATTTCTGTTATTTTAAGCCACCAAGTCTGTGGTACTTTGTCACAGTAGCCCTGGGAAACGAATTTAAATGTTTTTATTGATTTGTTAGGAAGGGAGAGGGAGAGAGAAACATCAGTGAGAGAGAAATATTGTTTGGCTACCTCCTACACACCCTGTACTGGGGATTGAGCCCAGAACCCAGGCATATGCCCTAACTGGGAATCAAACCAGTGACCTTTTGGTGCATGGTAGGTTGCTCAGTCTACTGAGCTATACTGGATGGATGAGGTTGTCATCAATGTAAAGTTCTATATAAATTGTAAAATCTGCAAGACAATATTAGTATTATCTGTACAGTAAATATTCATTTATGCTTTTCTATGTTTTGACTCTGCATTTCTCTTCACATCTTCTATTATGTCTGTGTATCCTTCTAGGGTCATTTCTTTTCTACTTGAAACATTTCTTCAGTGTGACTTTGTTGTTGAATTCTCTTAGTTTTTGTTTGCCTAAAAGTGTCTTTGTTCACATTTTATTTAAAAAATATATATGTATATAATTGATTTAAAAGAGAGAGGAAGAAAGATAAATAGAAATATCGATTGACTGCCTCCTACATGCCCCCTCTGGGGACCTAGCCCACAACCAAAGCATGAACCCTGATCCAGAATGGAACCGTGACATCCTGGTTCATGATTCAATACTTAACCTCTGAGCCACACTAGCTGGGCTCACTTTCATTTCTTGAAGTATATTTTTATTTGTATAGAACTCTAGGATAGTATCAATAGTTCTCTTAGCACATTAGCACACTGAAGATATCATCTACTTATTTCTGATTTCTATTATTTGGTTTTCTGAAGTTTTGTTATAATATGCATTAGTGTGGTTTCCTTTAAATATTCTAACTGAGATTTATTCTTCTTGATCCTATGGCTTGATATCTTTTTGTCATTATTTTTTAAATATTAATTCTGCCCCAATCTCTGTCACCTGTCCTTTGTGAGTCAAATTACAATTCTACAGAACCAATTTGCCACCAATCTCTTTTCCTAACCTGCTTTGGTCTTCCTTTTCTTTCTTCTATTTTTCCCTCTTTCTTTCTTTCCTCCTAGATTTTAGAATAATTTTCATTCCACTTAATTTTCAATACTGCTTCTAAAATTCTCTTTAAGAGACAGATCTAACTTTATGAGTTGCCTGCTTGAAAACCTGCAGTGTCTCCTTTTCTGCCTGTAATTCATCAAACATGTGTTAAACAACTATTATGTGATATGCATTATATGTATTGTCATTTATGTGATAAAAAACACACATCAATTATCCATTTTATCCATTTATAGAGAATTAAAATATAAAAATGAGAACCAGAATGACTTATTCCAATTTCATATCAGTCTTCTTTCATGCTTTCTGTATTTTAACATGTTTAAAAACACAAGTTTTCTTGATAAAGATTAGGCATAGGATGTGTAGATGTTTCTTTAAAACTATCCTTACTATTAAGTCACTAGGTTCTTCTATAATGTACTTGAGAGGCACACTTAAACACAAAGCAACTATCCCCAGGTAGATGAATCACATGCAACTAAGATTCTTCCGTGACTCAGCAAACTAACCTATTTTTTAGTGTATTTCTAAAACTAAGAGAATTCAACAACAAAGTCACACTGAAGAAATGTTTCAAGTAGAAAGGAAATGACCCTAGAAGGATGCACATTATTATTTAGAAGGAGGGGAAAATAGAGGAAAGAAAAGGAAGACCAAAGCAGGTTACAAAAAGAGATTGGTGGCAAATTGGTTCTATAGAATTGTAATTTGACTCCCAAAACGGATGGATTTTTGTTTTATCTCTTTGTTCTTTGTCCATTATTGAGAAGTGCACTAATGATAGCAAATAGTTCAATGGTAGGCAAATTAAAAAGAGACTGATAATTAACAACCTAGGTAACTTTTCCTTGAAGGATCGTGTTACATATTCTTTCAAAGGAATGAACAGATGACTTAAGGATTGCTATAATTCAGTGAATCATCAACTAATTATTTATAACATATGCCTCTCTATGGCCACCTTTCAAAGTTGAAATCAAAGATAACTTCTTACATTTCTGATGTATAGCTGTTCCCACTGAAATTTAATAAATAAAAAATAAAAAAGGTATATAATGATGAACAGAGACCCTGAAAGTAACAAAACAACTATGATAGAATACACTAGTACACATACAATGAAATGTCCTATGTTGAATAGCAATAATTATTGAACAATCAAAGTGAGTTGCCACAACTATAGAAAGGTGAATCCAGAAAATTTGAATACAAAATAATATGTAAACTATAATTAAAAAAGAAAATTAAAAAAAATTTAAGTCAAATTAATTTGGAAAACAAGTTGTCCAGAATGAGTTATAGAGAAATGAGTAATGAGAAAAACAAATTAATGTGCTTCTTGAGAACCTCAAATCTAAGTCATAGTGTACAGAAAATATACATGTGTATATAATAAATATTAGAGGCCCAGTGCATGAAATTCATGCATGGAGTGTGTGTTCTTCAGCCCAGCCTACATCCTCTCCAATTTAGGACCCCTTGAGGGATGTCTGACTGCCTGTTTAGGCCCCATCCCACTGGGATCGGGGTAAACGGGTAGTCAGACATCCCTCTCACAATCCAGGACTGCTGGCTCCCAACTGCTCACCTGCCTGCCTTGCTGATTGCCCCTAACCACTTCTGCTTGCCAGCCTGATCACCCCCTAACTACTCCCCTGCCAGCCTGATTGATGTCTAACTGCTTACATTCCAGCCTGTTTGCCCTAACAGCCTTCTCTTGCAGTCCTGGTCACCCCTAACTGGCCTCCCCTGCTGGACTGATCACATACAAATGCCTTCCCTTGCAGGCCTGGTCCCTCCCAACTTCCCTCCCCTGCAGGCCATCTTGTGGTGAGTATTTTGTGTCCACATGGGGGCAGCCATCTTGTGTGTTGGAGTGACAGTAAATTTGCATATTACTCTTTTATTAGATTATTAGATAGGATAGAGGCCTGGTGCACAGGTGAGGGCCAGCTCATTTGTCCTGAAGGGTGTCCCAGAACAGGATGGGGGTTCCCTTAGGTCATAAGGTGGCCTGTGTGAGGAGCCTGTGGTGGTTTGCAGGCTGGCCATGCCTCCCAATGACCCAAGAGGAGGCCCTGGTATCTGGGATTTATTTATCTTCTATAATTGAAACTTTGTAGCCTTGAGTGGAGGCCAAGACTGGCCAGGCTGAGTGGGAAGCTTGGCTTCCTTCATCACTGGGGGCAACCCAAGCCTCCTGCTTGCTTCAATTTCATGACTGCCGCCATTTTTGTTGGGATTTATTTATCTTCTATAATTGAAACTTTATAGCCTTGAGCAGAGGTCAGGGCCGGTCAGGAAGCTTGGGTTGCTGGGGAAACCCAAGCTTCTTGCTTGCTCTTGTGACCACAACCATCTGGGTTGGATTAATTTGCATATTTGATTCTGATTGGCTTGTGGTCATGGCTTCTGGGTGTAGTGAAGGTATGGTCAATTTGCATGTTTCCCTTTTATTATTATAGATTATTTATGTACAGTGTATGTGTTTAAGACTTATTGCTGAAAGAACTCTTTACATTTCAGACCAAAATCTCTTTATATATGAAGGGATTCAGGCAATGAAGATATGGAATACTTAATTTTATGAAATGGGATAAAATTTACAAAATTTACACCATTCCACTTCTGAAAGGTATTATTTTGGGGTTCTGTGTCCCAATAAAATGTTAGCATATGAACTGGTTTTCATACTGTTGTATACAGAACATTACAATCCTAGGAAGGTGCCTCAGGGATCACAGGGAAGGAGAGAAGAAGAAGAATGGTATAATGGGAATCGCTGCCTCCTCTTCCACTTGGGCAGGTCATTTCACACATTGGGACTCTGCCCAAGATTTCATTTCAAAAAGAATCCTCTGCTAAATAAAGTTTGAAAATCATTATAACTCACCAAGGTAGGGCCTTTATTCACAGCTTCAAATCTGTCGTGGTGTTCTTCTCATTCTAGTGGGAGTCCTCATCTATTGATCATATGTGATGAGTCTTTATGATTCTCCCCGCAGAAAACAGGACGGTAGAACACATTTTTTTACCAAATTTAATAGATTCCTGGGCTTCCTGAAATCCATTCACAGATTCTGAGTTAATAACATCAACTCTACAAGCTTTATTGAGATAATTTAAATAAGAAACTTCAGTTCGAAAAAAAAAGAATTTGGGATTAATATTAGAGTATGTTTGGAAAAGATGATTTTTTTTTTAGCATAGCATAACTTGTAGGACCAGTTTATCCTGCCTACTAAAAAAACAAACAAACATGTCCTTTTGAACAAATTTCAAGAATTACCTATTTTTGCTGGCCATGATATTTTGCTGTTCTTTTGTTTCATTCAATGAATATTTATTTAAACAGTAAATACACTGTGCTGGAGCAAATGTAAGTGAATGGCTTACAATATTTCCTTTAGGAGCTAACTGTTTTTGAGGATATGAATCATTTTTTATACTTAGTGTATTTTACAACTTTTAACCCCTTCTTACCAGTTCTACACACAAACACCCTCTTACTCTCTGCTGGAATCAGTATCCATTTGACTTACCATGTCTGCATGAGTCCGGGCTGACTGAGACTTGGGAAGATCATTTAAGCTGCTTCCACTCACGTCTTGAGGTTCGATCAGAGGACAGTAGGGGTGTGCAGAGGTGTCGGGACTGTGGCACCAAGGGCTACGACTCATGACAAGAGTTGGTGGGATTTTTTTTTCTCTGTAAAAGGAAAATTAAACCCCAATTGAACTAAAAAGACATTTTATGCAGTGGCATTAGTAAAGAAAGCTCAATTGAAGACAGACATGTTTGAAGACAAAACAATATGGCTTTTCTAGACCGTGTGGGCAGCACTGTCATCACAACCTCAGAAGCATTTGCCCACAAGTGACTTAACAAATCTGTACCTTCAGTCGCAGCCAGCTCTTGACCCAAGATAAAGCTCCTAGATGTGGCACTTGTCCCCTTGCCTCCACACTGCTAAAGACACGGTGATAACATCATCTCTTCACCCTCCATAACTCTGCCTCTAACAGCAGTGCCACTGGGAAGTGAAATGGCCAGGATGGCAGGGGTGAGGGGTGGTAAGGGTGGGTCTCCATTGCCTATGGGAAATTGCCAGCCTTTATTGTACCATTGAGTGTTTTGTTTGTTTGTTTTTAAAATATTTTTTAATTGATTTTTAGAGAGGAAAGGAGAGGGAGAGAAAGATAGAAACATTAATGATGAGAATCATTGATAGTTTGCCTCATGCACATTCCCAACTGGGGATCAAGCCTGCAACCTGGACACGTGCCCTTGACCAGAAATGAACCCGGGGCCCTTCAGTGCCCAGCCAGTGCTCTATCCACTAAGCCAAAACAGCTAAGGTGTACCATGAGTGTTTCTATGTTTTAAAATTATTAAGGGTTTTATGGTGCTATTCAAAATAGATTTTTTTTGGACATTATTGATTTACCTATTCATCATATATTATATTTACTTATCACCTAGGTATTCCTCCCTGCTCAGTTACCAATTGTGGGAAGGGCTCAATTAAACAACAACAACAAAAATGCACACACACATAAAAGAGCAACTTTTACCTCTTAAGAAAAACCGGAATTTGTTCCATCTGGTAGTTTTCGATGTCAGTATAAAGTTGATCAAGTGTTTCTTTAGATGTAGTTGTAGCTTTTGGCCAATGAAACATGTGCTTTTGAGATGCTGCATTTACTACCGAGCATCTCTGAAATTCAATATCAGTCTCTAATTTCTCCCATGCTTGCTTCCAGTGAATAGGAGTGCACCAGGCAATGGCCTAACAGAAATGATTCATTAATATCAAATACTATGGGAATTAGATTAAAAAATATATATTATTTTTTACTGATTTCAGAGAGGAAGGAAGAGGGAGAGAGAGATAAAAACATCAATGATAAGAGGGAATCATTGATCGGCTTCGTCCTGCTTGCCACCCTCCCCGCACCATTGGGGATTGAGCCCAAAACTCAAGCATGTTCCCTGACCAGGATTCTAGCCTCCTAGTTCATAGGTCGGTGCTCAACCGCTGAGCCATGATGGTTGGGCAGAAATTAGATTTTTTTTTTTAATGTCATGGAATTATTGCAATAAAGTTTCAAAGTCAACTGCATAATATCACTTACTTATTGTGCATAGATTAGTGAAACATCATAAGAATGTAGCAAGACATCCTGGCCTTAGTTTCCAATTTTGAAAATCACAAGTTGCATATCCTCAGGCCAGTAGTTACTTGTTATGTACCTGAGTCCTCCGACACAAAATAAGGAGGCTGGTAGTAGAGAACTGCTATATGAGGGTGTTCTGAGATTTAGTTAAGATACTAAGTAAAAAGTAGTTATCTATACTAATAAAAGGGTAATATGCCCGTTAGACAGGGAGACCTTCTGAACATCCTTCTGGACGAAGCCATGCTGGCAAGGCCAAGGCAGAGGCAGTTAGGGGCAATCAGGCTGGCAAGGGGGTGAGGGGGGGGTGAGGGAGAGGGAGGAGAGCAGTTGGGGGTGAGCAGGCCAGCAGTGTGGGACAGTTGGGGGCAAGCAGGCTGGCAGGCAGAGTGGTTAGGGGCCATCAGGCAGGCAGTTGAGCAGTTAGGAGTCAGCAGTCCCAGATTGGGAGAGGGATATCCAACTGCCGATTTAGGCCCGAGGGATTGGGCCTAAATCAGCAGTCGGACATCTCCCGATGGGTCTCAGATTGGAGAGGGTGCAGGCCAGCCTGAGGGATACTCCTCCTCGATTCACAAATTTCATGTACAGGTCACTAGTCAATATATATATAAAAGTCTAAGCGACTTGTCGACTGGTTGCCATGATGTGCACTGACCACCGGGGAGCAGACGCTCAAAGCAGGAGCTGCCTCTGGTGATCAGTGTGCTCCCACAGCCAACCTCTCACCACCATCCAACCTTCTGCAGTCCCTCCCTTTGGCCAGTCAGCCCCAATAATTGTCGCTGATCAGGACTGGGTGAGACAGCCCCAATTGGCCCTAATCGCTGGCCAGGCCAAGGGACTCCACCCATGCACGAATTCGTTCACTGGACCTCTAGTAATGTTAGTAAGTTAAATTGCTAACTATTTAAGACTATAATTTAAGATGGGAAAATGGGCAGTAGAACCAGAGCCAGAGACAAGAAGAGGATACCACATTCTCCAGGCTAGATACTAAGTGAGACTATTAAGGGGACCCATGACCACTAAAGCTGGAGTTTGTTTTGGTTTCTTGAATATGTGGAATGCATACTACATATATGTGCATTTTTTCCCCAGGAAAATCATGTGTAGGGACTTACAATTATGTCTGTATTCAACATGAGAAAGTTAAACACTGAAATGTGCCCAAATAGCCTACTTGTTCTTTTAAAATGTTTTTAGTTTATTAAATTAGAAGTTTTGGCTTATGCTGCTAAAGTCTTTTTTGCTGCTAGGGGTTCAGAAATCTGGAGAAGGGGCTGCATATAAATGAATAAACTTGATAAAAATATATATATAAATTTGGGACGTATGGGAAGCCAAGGGAGTCTCCACTTTCTAGTGAAGTGAGTTCTCCAAATGTCTGCACCCATGGCTTTTTATTTGCTGGGAAATGTGTTGGCCCTTTAAGAATGCAAACAGGTAAAGTTTGATAAACAGGAAAAGATGATCAGGTTAGGGGAAATGCCTACAGCTGTTGCAGATCTTCAACAGCTGTTGCAGATCCCCAAGGAACATCAGCCTTTGATGAACTTCTTGCATAATTATGACCTGCTAGAATTTGCCACCAGCAATTGAAAAATCGATTTGATTGATTGGATTGCACTGATTGGGCTGGCAAATTAACTAGACATAAAGGCAATATCTGGCAAGTTCAGGTAGGTTAAGCCAGTGGCAGAGAAAGAGAAAGATAAAATCTTTTCTAAAAAGTTCAATTTCATGGACCACAATAGAAAAACTTCACTTTTGTTTCAGATAATCAATTAGGGATTCTCCTCTGTCAGCAGCTCACAGACACTTTTGTTGAAAATACATTATGATTTTGTTTTAGTGCTCTCCCTCAATTAGACTGTAAGATTTTCTTAGACAAGAGCAATATTTTATTTCCCTCTATACTATAGGGACTTAAAAATATTTGATGGCAATGATCCTATATAATAAAGAGCTAATATGCTAATTAGACCAAACAGCAGAATGACTGTCCAGTTGACCTTCCAGATGAAGCCAGGGCGGTGAGGGCTGAGGCAGCTGTGGCCTCTATTAATGTGATAAAATAAAATAATTACATTGCTGGGATGTTGGCATATGAACTTTGTAGGCTATTTTTAGTGCAGTAGAAAAATTATTGGAGTTGGAATGTCTGGTTTTATTTTAGTTCTGCCATTTTACCAATCTTGTGACCTTGAGCAAGCCATTTAATTTTCCAAGCCTCATTTTCCTCCTCTGTAAATACTTAGAGTGAGAATCAAACAGGATAATGCACAAATACACACCCTTTCAGCGAGCTTCTACAACATAGCAGCAGTCTGTCCCTTAACTGAATCTCTAATGCAAAACAATGTACTGGGAAGATTCCAGCACTGCATAAATATAAAATACCTATTAATTATTATTATTATTATTATTATTATTATTATTATTATTTTTAGAGAGGGAGAGGGAGACATAGAAACATCAATAATGAGAGAGAATCATTGATTGATTGCCTCCTGCATGCCTCCCCCTGGAGATCAAACCTGCAACCTAGGCATGTTCCCTGAAATAAATTAAACCATGATTTCCTGGTTCATAGGTCAACACTCCATAGAGCCAGGCTGGCTGGGCCCTATTAAATTTTTTTTTACATATAATATAGAGGCTACAAATCCTGAAGAACGACAATGTAACTGGTAAAGAAAATACCTAGCTCTGTTTAAAAATCAATCGATCCACAGAATTTTAGTAATTATATTGCAAGCCCTTATCCTATATAATAAAGAAGTAATATGTAAATTGACCCTCACTCTGTTATGCTGTCACAAGATGGCTGTGCCCACAGTGGAGGCGGGGTTTCTGTAATGAGTCATAATGAGTGATCAGCAGGGACCTGAGGCTGCATGGCACTGAGCTAGGGTGGGGAACCTCGGCTTCACCCCTTGCCTGGTGGAGGTTTCAAGGGGGACCTCAGGCTGTGCCCCCACCCCAGTGTTAGGCTGGGGGACCTCAGGCCACACCCCTTGCCCCAGCACTGGGCTGGGGGACCTGTGGCTGTGCCCCCCGCCCAGCGGGGCTTGACAGGGGACCTCAGGCTGCAACTCTCGCCCAGTGGGGTTTGATGGGGATGGGGCTGCCTAGGTCTGGATCTCACGCAATGGGGATGGGGCGCAATTTCGAGATGCATGCAGGTGGGTGGGACTTGACTCTGGGTCCTGCACTGTGCCCCAGACTCTGACAGGAGGAAGATTTTCATATACATTTTACTTATTTTCTTTCATCTCTGACATTTCTATTATAGAAATGTAGGAATGAGAAAGGGTGAAAGCAATATTAAAATATTTCCTCTAATTAATTCCCTTTTAATGTGCATGGATTTTGTGCACCAGGCCACTATTATTATATATTAGAAAACAGAATAAAGATTACATAGTTAACTCATGGTAGAACAGAACTAAATCTACCTTTATATTACAGCACATGATTTGTTAGTTGATTATTAACCAGTAGAGGTCTGGTGCATGAAATTCATGCATGGGTAGTGTCCCTTGGCCTGGCTGGCAGTCAGGACCGATCTGTAGGGCAACCAGCAAGGTGATTAGGAAGCTCCCACTGGCACCCCCCTTGGCTGGCTTGGGGCCTGCAGGCTGGGGGCAGTTTCTGCATTGAGCATCTGTCCCCTGGTGGTCAGTGCACATCATAGTGACCAGTCATTCTACTGGTTGTCCTGCCATTCAGTTGGTTTGCATATTAGGCTTTTATTATGTAGAATGGACATATTAGTGATGTCTGTCATACTTTAGGTTTATTTTTTTAATGACTCATGATCAGTAATATAACTTTTTGCTCAAGTCCAGAAATAGTACCTATTCTAATTTGTATGGTTGGCTATTGCTTTAGGCAAAAGATTGGAGGCTCTGTAACTTTTTTTGTAACAACTTTTAAACAACATATTGTATGGATTAGTAGTTGTATGACATAGTAAGTTAGACTGGGTCTAAGAAAAAAAGGCAGGTATATATATATTTTTTAATCTAAAGAATCCTATATAATAAAAGCCTAATATGCTACCCTGTTTCCCCGAAAATAAGACAGTGTCTTATATTAATTTTTTCTCCCAAAGTTGCGCTAGGTCTTATTTTCAGGGGATGTCTTATCTTTCCATGCGCTAGGTCTTATTTTCGGAGGATGTCTTATTTTCGGGGAAACACAGTAAGTGTCTGCTCAACCACTCACATGACGTGCACTGACCACCAGGGGACAGACTCTCTGACCAGTAGGTTAGCTTGCTGTTGGGGTCCACCCAATCAGGACTGAGCCAGAAGGACCAGACATGCCCTGGAGCTTTCCCAGAGTGGCCAACCTCTCACGTCCCTCCCCAGCCCTGATCATGCACTGGTTGGGTCCCTTAGACTGGCCTGCACCCTCTTGCTATTTGGGACTTCTCAGGCGATGTTGGAGAGCAGGACAGGCTGAGGGACCCCACTGGTGCATGAATTTAGGCACCTAGCCTCTAGTAGTTTTATTAAAGAAATAATTTTTTTTTAATAAAAATAAGATACCTTACTTTACTATTAGTCCTTGGGTGTATACTTATGCTAATATTATACCAAGAAAAGAGGTAGTATGAAAATATAAAATTGTCAAATATTCAGAGTTAGTTACTAAGCTATTACTAATGTACATAATTTTATAGTGACTATAGTATAGTCAGACAAATAAGATTGTAGTTTGTTTCATTAGAATGCTAGTTCTTGAGAGCAGATGTCCTGTGGTATTACAGCCCTTAGAATTGAAAAGAATCTCAAAAAACATTTGAAAAATCCATAAATGGATAGAGAGGGCCTCTACAGAGTTTCTTCCTTTCTTATCGTGCTCTTCATGCTAAATACCGTAAATAAAATATATCCTTAACTCTGAAATCTGAAGTAGCTTCAAATTTGGGATATCAAAATTCTTTTTGCCAAGGATAAGCAGCTCTTTGGCACATTAGCTCCCAGGAGAGGGTGCTATTGATTTGCTGATTTCTTATGACAGTCAGTGATGGTTCTATCCAAGATTTAGGGGTGGAAAAATAATTGAGTGAGCTAAGGAGACAAGGAGAACATAAGGAGGCTATCTATTTAAGAAGCATTGTGAATAACAGATACTGACATCACCATTAGGTTTGCACAGAATGGTTGTAGAATTTGGGCTGGTTTTAAACTTCTCTTTTTCCTTCCAAAGAAAATCTGATGGTGGTTGATGCTTTCCTTCAGATGCTGCTGTCCAGACCTGTAAAAAAATAATTGTTAATTTAAAATGTCATTGGAGTTCAACAGTTTTGTAAATGTCAGAAAGGGATTGCTATGTTACCTTTCTCAACATGATGAGATCTTAAAATGTAATGAGTATCCTAGCTAATAAAAGAGTAATATGCAAATTGATCATCACTCCAACACACAAGATGGCTGCCCCCAAATGGTCAAATATGGCTGCCACAAGATGGCCAGCAGGGGAGGGCAGTTTGGAAGGACCAGGCCTGCAAGGGAGGGAATTTGGGGGGATCAAGCCTACAGGGGAGGGCAGTTAGGGTTGACCAAGCTGGCAGAGGAGGGAAGTTGGGTGTGATCAGGCCTGCAGGGAAGGGCAGTTAGGGGCAAACAGGCTGGCAGGAGAGCAGTTAGGCATCAATCAGGCTGGCAGGGGAGTAGTTCGGGGGTGATCAGGCTGGCAGTTGAGAGCCAACAGTCCTGGATTGTAAGAAAGATGTCCGATAGAATGGGCCTAAACGGGCAGTCAGACATCCCTCGAGGGGTCCCAGATTGGAAAGGATGCAGGCTGGGCTGAGGGACACACTCTCCTCGTGCATGAATTTTGTGCACTGGGCCTCTAGTATAATAAATATACAGTGCCAAGCAGTGGAACACTGTATGTGGTTTAAAGGAAAGCACAAGAAAGAGGAAAAACCCTCCAGTATCAACTAGCTATCTGTTCTCTAGACCAGTAGTCAGCAAACTCATTAGTCAACAGAGCCAAATATCAATAGTACAACGATTGAAAATTTTTTTTTTGAGAGCCAAATTTTTTAAACTTAAGCTTCTTCTAATGCCACTTCTTCAAAATAGACTTGCCTAGGCCATGGTATTTTGTGGAAATGCCACACTCAAGGGGCCAAAGAGCCACATGTGGCTCGTGAGCTGTAGTTTGCCAACCAAGGCTCTAGGCAGACACTATCTTAACTTTTCTTTTAAGGATTATGTTTGCTTGATTTTATAAACTTAGGGATTTAATTTTAATAGTTAAGTCATAAAAGCATGAGGTATTCTACAACAAACTGAAGAAAGCTATGGAAGTTTAACTATGGGTATTAACTTACCCACAGAGATGGACAACATGGCTCAATTAGCCACCACCAACAAAACACCCCATTTTACGTAGAGAGTGAGTGATGAAGAAACCACGTGTGCTGAGCTGCAATCTGACCTGGGTAAGTGAGATTTTCCTGTACAATTTTAGTTTGTACAATAGTATTGATATCTTATACTCACTGTTACTGTGGAATTGGCCTGCAATGTGATATTGGGAGGAAAATGGTACAGAGAATCTGGTTTTCCATTGATATTTTGCTGGAGAATGTGATTTCCAATCTCCAGTTCTTGGTTAGGGGAAGAGTTAATGAGCTTCACAAATAAATCATTCACTTCAATTATTTTAATGTCTCCAAAAGCACTGGAAAAAAAATAAAGATTATAAGGTGCCTTCAGATAAACATGTCATCAGTATTTCACTTGAAGGGCTGAATAATAAATATGCTTTGGAAGTTATTCCTAAACTGTCTACTCTACTGGACACATTCTATGTGGAGATAGTGTATTTTCATAGCAAATACCTTGATCTGTTAGTTCTGTTTATCTGTACAATAAAATCATCTCTTTCCCATAAAATAAAGAAAACTTAAAAGGTGCTTTAGGTGTCGAGGGATAAGTGCCATAGGATGGTGCAATTATCATTAGTTAAATCCTACTATTCTCAAAACCACCGAGAGATGAAACTGAAATAGGTAAAGAGGAAAGTTAAATATTTTAGTTTACTTCTGATATAGTTACTGTGAAGATGACTAGTAACTGTACTCTTAAAAGAATTTAGCAAACAAAATATTATACAGAGATAAGATGATATTTTTTTTCCTACTAACGTGTTAAGGGCTTAATATGTACCAGGGACCAGGCTAAACATTGATATATTATTGTAGCATTTTTTAGAGTGTAGGTCACAATCCCTTTGGTGGATTAGAGACATCATTTAAAAAGTGAAATATACAGCTGAAACCGGTTTGGCTCAGTGGATAGAGCTCAGCCTGCAGACTCAAAGGTCCCAGGTTCGATTCTGGTCAAGGGCATGTAACTTGGTTGCGGGCACATCTCCAGTAGGGGGTGTGCAAGAGGCAGCTGATTGATGATTCTCTCTCATTGATGTTTCTAACTCTCTATCCCTTTCTTTTCCTCTCTGTAAAAAAGTGAAATATACCTCTACCAATTATAATAACCAATATTTATTATGTGCCAGGTGCTTTTAAAAGATTATGTCTATATCCCTACAATCTTTTCAATTATAGTTTGCATTCAATATTATGTTGTATTAGTTTCAGATGCACAGGATAGTGGTTAGACAATCATATACTTTACAAAGTAGTCCCCATAATATTTCTGGCATCCACCTGGCACCATGCATAGTGATTACAATATTATTGACTATATTCCCTATGCTGTGTTTCACATCCCCAAGACTATTTTGTTAACTATCAATTTGTACTTCTAAATCCTTTTCCAGCCAACCTCTCCATCCCTCTCTCCTTTGGCTACCATCAACCTGATCTCTGTATCTATCAGTCAATGTTTCTACCTTATTTGCTTTGCTCTTTGATTACACATACTATAAGTGAATTAAGTGGTTTTTGTCCATTGTATATATGTACCACAACATTTTTATCTATTTGTTTATTGATGGCACTTGGGTTGCTTCCATATCTTGGCTATTGTAAATAATGCTGCAATGATCATAGGGGTTGCATATGTTCTTTCAAAATTGTGTTTTGTGTTTCCTTGACTATATACCCAGAAATGGGATCACTAGGTCATGAGGCAGTTCCATTTTTAATTTTTTTTTTTAGATAGCTTCATATTGCTTTCCACAGTGGCTGCACCAATATACATTCCCTCCAACAGTGCATAAGGGTTTACTCTTCTCCATAATCTCACAAACACTTGTTGCTTGTTGATTTACTAATGATAGCCATTCAGATAGTAAAAGTGATGTCTCATTGTGGTTTTAATTTGCATTTCTCTGATGATTAGTGACACTGAGCATCTTTTCATATGTCTGTTGGCCATATATGTCCTCTTTGAAGAAGTGACTGTTCAAATCTCTTGCCATTTTTTGATTGGATTGTTTAAAAAAATTAAACAATGCAAAAAAAAAACCCTCAACAAATAAAATAGAAACACACTCATAGATATAGATAACAGACTGGCAATTATAAGAAAGGGTAATGGGAGCTGGGTGAATACGGGAAAGAGATTGAGCAAAGAAAAAACCCTCAAAGACACAGACAACAGTATCCTATATGATAAAAGGATAATATGCAAATCAACTGAATGGCTGAATGACCAGTCATTATGACATGCACCGACCACCAGGCGTGGGCAACTCTCAATGCAAGAGTTGCCCCCTGGTGGTTAGTACACTCCCACAGGGGGAGTGCCACTCTGCCAGAAGCTGGGCTCATGGCTGGTGAGCACAGCGGTGATGGTGGGAGCCTCTTTTGCCTCCACAGCAGTGCTAAGGAGCCCTTGGGGGATGTCTGTCTGCTGATTTAGGCCCTCTCCCTGTGGAGTCCCAGACTGTGAGGGGGCACAGGATGGGATGAGGAAGCCCCCTCCCCCTCAGTGCATGAGGCCTCTAGTGGTGATTATGAGAGGGGAAAGGGGGAGGGAGAAGTAAATAAATAGTGATGGAAGGAGGCTTGTCTTGGCTTGGTGAACACAATATGCAGATATTGAATTATAGAACCATACAATATACCTGAAACCTATCTTATCTAATAAAAGAGTAATATGTAAATTGACCATACCTCTGCCATGCACACCAGCCACACACACCAGCCAATCAGAGTGAGTAAGCAAATTAACCCCAACCAAGATGGCTGTGGCCACAGAGAGCAGGAAGTAGGCTTGGGTTTCTCTAGCAACGGAAGAAGCCAAGCTTTCCACCTGCCCTAGCCAGCCTAAGCCTCCACTCAAAACTACAAAGTTTCAATTATAGAAGGTAAAGAAATCCAAACAGAAATGGCGGCAGCCACAGAGCGAATAGGAGGCTTGGCTTCGCTCAAGGCTACAAAGTTTCAATTGTAGAAGGTAAATAAATTCCAGATACCAGAGCCTCTGCTTGGGTCATCAGGGGGTGTGGCCAGCCTGCAAACCACCACAGGCTCCTCGCCTGGGCTGCCCCACACCCCAAGGGACCCCCCACCCTGATCTGGGACACCCTTCAGGGCAAACCAGCTGGCCCCCACCCATGCACCAGGACTCTATTCGATCTAATAAAAGAGTAATATGCTTATTGACCATCATTCCAACACACAAGATCAAGATAGCTGCCCTCATGTGGTCAAAGATCCTGCCCTCATGTGGACACAAGATGGCCATCACAAGATGGTCAGCAGGGGAGGGCAGTTGGGAGGGACCAGGCCTGTAAGGAAGGGCAGTTAGGGGCAATCAGGCTTGCACAGGAGGGCAGTTAGGGGGCGATCAGGCTGGCAGGGTGGAGCATTTAGGGAGTGATCAGGCTAGCAGTGGGTAGCAGTTAGGGGTGATCAGGCAGGCAGGCAGGCAAGCGGTTAAAAGTTAGCGGTCCCAGATTCTTAGAGGAATGTCCCACTGCCTGTTTACATCCCCTGAGGTGTCCTGGATTGTGAGAGGGTACAAGCTGGGATGAGGGACACCTCCCAATGCACAAATTGACATGATGACAAAGTGGACAGAAGAATATGTCCTGGATTTAGACAGACTTGCAATTGTATTTCCAATCTGTAACTTACTAATATAATCTAGTATAATTATATTAACCAATGTTGCCCCAATAAATTCAATTTAAAAAGTTTATATTTCTCTTTCTGTATTGAACTCAAGAACCTAGTATAAGAATAAAAAGCTTCTAAGTCCACCTGAATAACTTGCCAATAATAAAGTTCTTGAATAATTGAATTGACTTTATTTGTAGGGATTATGCATTGCTGTTTCTTCTAGCATCTTTGAAGAATTAGCATTCATTATTCAGCTTCTGAATATTAATTTCTTTTAATTGCTTATAACTCGAAACAGTTATATTTTATCTAATTTCTTAGATGGAATCCTGGGACAGCACAACAGATTAAAACTTTGCTTCCTACTGACTTATTGCTCCTATCCCAATAGCAGATATAAAATAATTAAAATACAATATGTACCTGGATCTAGATGGGCCCACTTCTTCAAGAATCATAGAAAAGTGCTTCCAAGTTTTCCTGGTAGCGAATGAGTGTATAATAAGTTTCTTTGATGCGGAAAACAAAGATAGGAAATAATCCTCCCCTTGCCCCAACACAGGTGGCTCAGAAGTAGTAATCAACAGTGTCTTCTTCTTTGGAGCTATGACTTTTTCTAAACAAATCAAAGAGGGAAGCAACAAAGAGGGAAGTAAATAACAGGATATTAAAAGAACCCATAGCCATTATCTTTATTCTTTGCTTCTACAAAACTATGTTCTTTATACATTTTACTACCACTGACTGTCAAACTAAATGAAGATAATTGAACACTTTAAACCAAAGGCTACACAATAACCAGTAAGAGACTGTTTTTAGTGATACTCAATTCCTAGAGATTGTTTTAAACTATCAATTATATCATCAACATAATGACTATTTCACAGATTAGTTACTTGTACTAGGAGCATCATACATTTTTGAGTAGGTAAAACATCTGAGTATCTCAAATTTGGATAAGTCATATGTAAGTACATCTTTATTCTATTTTATATTAGCTATTCTCTCCACATTCATACTCATACATTACAGCTTCAAATGAGTCCTTTCCTACCAATGGCTAGTATTTTTGCCAGATAAAGATGTCAGTTTTCTTTCATCAACTAAAATACTTTATTGGACAGATAAAATAATGCTTAACCAGATTCTAGTCTCCTCTTGGAAATAAACTCCTTTAAAATCCTCATGCTAAGATTCAAACACAAAATAGGTTTCATAATTTTGCATAGAAAGAACCAGGCAGAGTAAATCTAATAATGTAAGTTCAAAGAGAAAGGAACAGTACAGAGAGGCGTGATGACAAAGAGGACAGAGAAATATGTCCTGGATTTAGACAGACTTGCAATTGTATTCCTGATCTGTCACTTACTAAGCCAACTGAGTTAAACTTTCCAATTCTCAGTTTTCATGAACATAAAAATACTACTACCTTGTTAAGGTGATGTGAGAATTGAAAGTAATGTGGATAAGTGTCTAGGACTATCTGGTATTTAGCAGATACCCAATAAATGATAATTATTATTGTGACCCTGGGTCCAAAATTATCAACAAATTAACACAATTTAGAGTTTGATTTATATTTGTGTATCTTTCACAAAAACCAAGTGAGGTGAAAGCTGGAAAGGGTTAAACTCATAGTTTCTAAAGAGGATTCCTCAAAGTATTTTGTTCAGAAGAAATGTTTGGAATTCAATTTGTTTTTCTCAGTCAAGTATTTACTTAATTTTTTAAAATTCCTCTGGGAATAGAGAATAGATAGCAGCCCTTTGAATAGCTCATCCTATGGGGTGGAGGGTGAGGGACCTTTGCACTCTAAAAGGAAAGAAGATCAATTAATTTTTAGTCCCAGATGTTATTTCATCTGGGGAAACAGATGGAAATGAACCAAACGCAGCAAGTGGCAGCAAACTCAGACTTCCACCAACTGCAGCAGAACCTACAGTAACTGAAGGAGAAGCCTACATCCTAGCTCCTTGCTCATCTTGCAAGGGGAAGCCACTATATTTTTTTTTGTTTCTTTTCCCCACTAATCGTGGGAGTGTGCCCAGTTTGGCCCAAATACAGGACATACGCCATGATGATACAGTGCTAAAGGATAGAAAATCCTCCCTCCCTAGATCTAAATCTGTACTTTCACTTTTAAGCATATGGATCTGGTTATTGCTGAAGGTCAGTGTGAACTTAGGAGGCTTCTTTAGAAAAAAAAAATGTAGCTTAGGTGTGCAAACAATGAAGCACAGGGACTACGACAATAATGGCAGTAGGTCAAAACCCTAGATGCCTGTGTGTCTAAGGCGTAGGCAAATACCACAAACAAAATGAAACACAGAGAAGCAGCAGCCAGGCTGTAAATGTGCACAGAATGGTGGAGGTGGAGGGAAATAGAGGCATCAGGGTGTCAGGGTGCTGTGTTTCCAGTTTTAAAACTTGTCAATAAGTGAGTAATGGAACTCGATCCAGCCCATTCGATGAGAAGGTGCTTAGAGATATGCTCAGGTTCACAACTAATTTTTATTGAGTACCTACTATGTGCTAGGGGATTTTCATAAATCTTCACATCTCCTTTAATCATCCTTTGGATAGTTCTGAGAAGTCGACAGTTTAATCCCCATTTTTGCTGTTGTGGAAAATGGGACTCAGAGATGCTAAATACCTCATGTTTCACACCAAAGGGAGCAGAGGAATAGTTTGGACCTTGGTCTTCTGTTCCCAAGGACAGCGGTCCTTCTAGTAAACTGTAATATACCCTCAAAGCTTCCTGTACTTAGTGAGGAACAAACACCTGCAGCCTGGATTCTGCTGAGTGCATTGTTGGCACCTGTTACAATTTTACTTCTTCCTACAGTAGTCCTGTTTTTATTTTCCTCTCCTCCAAATTCTTTATTGTTTTTTTCCTTTTCTCTCCACCATTTTACCTACTTTATTTTTCTTCTTTCTCTTATCTATCTGTCTTTTCCTTACCAAAGTCCTAAATCTCCTAAGGGCACAAAGTACCCAAGACATAACTTAATCTTTTTGGTAGCATTAAGAGGAAGGGCAGACCATGTTATGCATTAGAATTTTTTAATTATCTAGAAAGTCTGGAACATGTAAAGCAGTCAACCTATGAACCATTATGCTAACTCAAGGTATTTTAATTTTTTTTTCTTTACTAAGGTATTACATATGTGTCCTCATCACCCCATTGCCCCTCTCACCCCCCTACTCATAATCTTAAACCTCCCCTTGTATCTGTGTTCATTGGTTAGGCTTTTATGCATGCATACAAGTCCTTTGGTTGATCTCTCCCCCTTACTCCCACCCTCCTGTACCTTCCCTCTGAGGTTTGACTGTCTGATTAATGCTTCTCTGTCTCTGAATCTGTTTTTGTTCATCATTTTATGTTGTTCATTATATTCCATACATGAGTGAAATCATGTGATATTTATCTTTCTCTGACTGGCTTATTTCATTTAGCATAATGCTCTACAGTTCCATCCATGCTGTTGCAAATGATAAGAATTCCTTCTTTTTTTTTTTTTTTTTTTTTACCACAGTGTAGTATTCCATTGTGTAGATGTACCAACGTTTTTTAATCCACTCATCTGCAGATGGGCACTTAGGCTGTTTCTAAATCTTAGCTTTGGTAAATTGTGCCGCTATGAACATAAGGGTGCATATATCCTTTCTGACTAGTGTTTCTAGTTTCTTGGGATATATTCCTAGAAGTGGGATCACTAGGTCAAATGAGAGTTCCATTTTTAGTTTTTTAAGGAACGCCATACTGTTTTCCACAGTGTCTGCACAAGTCTGCATTCCCAGCAGCAGAGCACAGGGTTCCTTTTTCTTCGCATCCTGACCAGCACTTGTCATTTGTTGATGTATGGTGATAACCATTCTGACAGGTGTGAGATGGTACCTCATTGCCAGTTTGATTTGCATCTCTCGGATTATTAGTGACTTTGAGGATGTTTTCAAATGTCTCTTGGCCTCCTTCTGTCTTCTTTTGAAAAGTATTTATTTAGGTCCTTTGCCCATTTTTTGATTGAGTTCTTTATCTTCATTTTCTTAAGTCGTATGAGTTCCTTGTAAATGTTGTAGATTAAGCCCTTTTCGGTGATAACATTGGCAAATATGTTCTCCCATGCAGTGGCAAACATATTTTTTTGTTGATGGTTTATTTTGCTGTGCAAAAGCTTTTTATTTTTATGTAGTCCCATTTGTTTATTTTCTTTTTAGTTTCCATTGCCCAAGGAGCTGTATGGGTGAAGAAATTGTTTCAGCATATGTCTGAGATTTTTCTGCCTGTGGATTCCTCTAATATTTTTATGGTTTCCTGTCTTATGTGTAAGTCCTTTACCCATTTTGAGTTTATTTTTGTGTATGGTGTAAGTTGGTTAACTCAAAGTATTTTAATCATTGGGATGATATACTTGGCCACATATATTTATGGAACCAAATATGATTCCAGTATTAAGATCAATAGTGAGCAGTTATATGACATTAAGAAATTAGCATTGTTGAACACAAATTAAAAATATCATTCTGGTTTCTAGACACATAGAAAATTTATTGAACTATATAATTTAAAAATAGTCTAAAAATAATCGGTAAAGGCTTTGCTTACCCAAGTTGATATCTGAGTGTTCCGCTGTAATTGATTTAGAAGACTTTGATCCCCTTGCTGATAGAGCTATTCCAGTAATCTCAAAGTTAGACAGATAGCAACCGAGAGGTATTTCACTGGTGGATGACAGTGACAACGGCAGTGCTGTGCTATATGAATTTTCAGTACTTGGAAAACGTACTAAAGATCGGTGTGTCCTTGAGAGGGTGCCACTTGTATTTTCTCTTCTGTGGACAAAAAAATAGTATAATAAATAAAGAAAGTTAACATGAATAGACAATGAGCACAAGAAGCATAAACTATCATTATTACCCAAAGTTTTGATTTTCAAAGGCATTATGCATTTTATGTAAGCACAAGAACATCTTATAGCTCTAGTTTTAAGAACCTAAATAGAACACTTTAGTGTCAAGTTAAGAAAATTTCTCTAATTTTTAAATTTAAGAATCAATAAATTCCCACTATAGATGGTTTTGAAAAAGTATAAAAGTAGAAAGAAAATAAAAATCATCCAAGAATTGTAGGCTTTTTAATGCATATTTTTACATATATTTGAGACTCTATAAACCATTTGTATGCCACATTTATCACTTATTATATCCTAGTCCCCCTTTCTACTAACATAAAAATATTATAATTCTTGTTTAATATATTGTTTACTATATATTTTTCCTTTGACTTCTGCTGTTGAATTAATTTTCCTATATTAAGATTCTATAGTTAATGTTTGCTTTCAAATACTCTATGAAAACTAATAACTGTAAATACAGTATGTGTGTGTGTGTGTGTGTGTGTGTGTGTGTGTGTGTATGTTGAAAGAATAGCAGAAAAAGAAAAACTTAATTTCCAGGTACTATTTTTATAAGCAAACATTACTATGAACAAAGCTTTTCCTTTCTTTCTTTTTCATAAATATAAAAGCATTTTTTAACTAACACAAACATTTTTTAAACTACAATTATTTTACAAGTACTAGTAAAATAATATCCTCCTGGCATGGCTCATGAAAAGGTTTATGACAACCCCATTTTATGTGCCACATTGAGACTCTCCTCAATAAACTAAAAGCAGTGTGTGTGTGTGTGTGTGTGTGTGTGTGTGTGTTTAATGCTTGAGTTGTGAACAAAGTTCTGGGGTCCAAACCTTTTAACTCTCTGAAACATTGGGTGAATGAGCAGTCAACTTTTAGTCCCCTATTTTCTGGTGGTCACACATCCACTATAATTTAGGAACTAAGTGTTTTACCTCCATGGATTGTCTCTATTTTGATCTCTTTGTTTTCCAGAGTTTCTATAAAGTTATTTTAGCCAGTTTCCTGTTGCCATCTTTTTGTTTGTTTGTCTGTTTTTCATTGTTTTTTGTTTGTTTGTTTGTTTTTGTTTTTTTTTTTCCCTAAATGTTTCCAAAAGGGTACAAGGGCCTGGAGCTTCCTAATCTGCCATCTTGCTAAAGTCAGTCTCAATATCTCTGTTTACCAGAGGTATGCACAATTCTTTTGTTTTATAATTTGTACACTCCTTCATCCGAAAGACTAATCTGGAGAGTGTTTACTCAAAACCAGACTTCTCTAACTCTGTACCTCTCTGTACCTCTCAGCAGGTACAGGCATCTCAAGCAAATTATTATTATTATTTTTTAAATTGAATGCATTGGCTTTGAAAGTTGCATTATTCCTGGCCCAGTACTTACTGAGTTTGAGCAATGCCATTTTGCTGACAACCCAAGCACTCATCTTTATCTGAAAAGCTCAAACCCATGAAGATATACTCAAGCTTGACTGTGAGATGCAGACTATAGAGATCAGTTGTCAAATTACAAACATCCCATCTCAGTTCGACCTGAAAGAGGCTCTTATGATGTGACTTCTTCCCGGCCTTGGCTAGAATAAGCAGAAAAAGTACTTTTCTCTTTCCAAGTTCCTCACATCTGGGTTTCATTACAGCCAAGCTGGCTATATCTTTCAGCATGTTCATCTTATAAGCTCTGAATTCACTTTTCTCCAGTAGAACAACAGTGCTCCCACATAAATTTAATTCCACAAAAGATTCCCAATAAGCTTTGGCAAAGGTTGCAATTAAAGAAATCGCCTAGGACACTGGTCGGCAAACTCTGGCTCACGAGCCACAAGCAGCTCTTTGGCCCCTTGAGTGTGGCTCTTTCACAAAATACCACGGCCTGGGAGAGTCTATTTTGAAGAAGTTGGCGTTAGAAGAAGTTTAAGTTTAAAAAATTTGGGTCTCAAAATCAATTTCAATCGTTGTACTGTTGATATTTGGCTCTGTTGACTAATAAGTTTCTGACCACTGGCTAGGACCACAGGGTGTTCTTCTTTTTCTATTTGAATAAGAAACTTCTACTGGCTGCATTATTTTGGAAGAGCTGAAATATTTTAGGCAGAGACATGCGTGATGCAGCCTATTGTCTGAAAACCTTGCACTCACAGACCGAGCAGACTTAGAAGAGGGGAGGTTTATTCTAGTGCAGTGGTCGGCAAACCTTGACTCGCGAGCCACATGTGGCTCTTGGCCCCTTGAGTGTGGCTCTTCCACAAAATACCATGGCCTCAGCGAGTCTATTTTGAAGAAGTGGTGCTAGAAGTTTAAGTTTAAAAAAATTGTCTCTCAAAAGAAATCTCAATCGTTGTACTGTTGATATTTGGCTCTGTTGACGAATGAGTTTGCCAACCACTGTCCTAGTGCTTAGTTAGCTTCCTCTACTGCTTTGCAAACGAAATTTTCCAACCCCTTTCTTGGTATTTTGCTCCTTCTGTAACCAATTAGCACTAAACCAGAGGCAGTTACAAAAGTTCAATGCCATCATTTCAGTGTGATTTTGGGAGATGTTGCACTAGTAATACTGACAACAGCCATGTGCAGTTCAGCTAAGAAATGATTTAAACTGTTTATTTTAATAGATAAAATATTTTATAAATGAATTTGAACCAAACAATAAACACAGGACATCTAGGTCCAAAGTAACATTGGCTTTAAATTGTGTATATTCAATACAATGGATTTTTTTTTTTTTTTTAGAAAACATTGGAAAATCAATGCTAATGCTTTAGTTGATAGAATGATTTACATTAGTGGTCGCAATAGGGAATTGTAATTTTTATTTTATATCCTCACAGGCATTTGCTAAATCAAACATTCTTTGGTAATTCTTTGTCCCTGGATCAGTAAAGTGATTCTAAGGAAATTATCTGCCAATTGTTTTAACGTGTTAGATATGAGCTTTGGAACCTCAACCAGGTCAGCTATGATGGACCTCTGTCCAGATATATTTTTATATTCCTCAAGGACTCAACCTTATAAAACAGTGGGTGGGAGGTAACTGCATGTTATAGTTAATCTTAGAAAACCTGTGGAACCAATTCCAGCCCTAACTACTTTATTAGATGTCTTGAAACAAGAGGCCAAGTGCTCCATCCCTCTCCTCCAACACTCATCCCCTTCCCTCCCCTCTTCTGTGCCATTCTTACGAGGTATCTCTCTCCATTTTATCTTCCTGTTCAGGAACTTGACTCTGCAGGGCTGTCGATGTTTCTTGAGTGGCTTCTTATGTCTTTTATCTTGGCCAGAAGAAAAGTCTCTTTCCTTTCCTGGGAAAACAGATTACGACATTAGGCCAGGATTATAGCTGAGGTTCACACCAGGTTTCCTATGTCAAGTGACCTCACCTGTTAATCTAACTACCTTAAAGCACCTGCCAGGTTTGATGCTTTCTCTACCATGCTGATGCCAGAACCATGATTCTAATGGAAAGATGCAAGTCCTGACATAGCCAATACTGCTGTTGGCTAAGGCTAGTAGACAAACCAAGGTGAAGGTGCAAAGCATTCACCGGAAGCAGGGCAGGGGGCAGGGTGGTATCCCAGCATAGCTATCTTTATGACCACAGTTCTCACATGGGGCCAACACTGCCTGTCAGAACACTGTGACATAATGTCTCCATAGTTACAGAGTTCCAGTCTCTGAACAATGACTATGTTGATGCTTTGTAGCTTGCAGAGCTGAAATAAGGGAACTTGCTTTTAGGAGAGCCAGATCTCCCCACCAGACAAACTTTGTCACCGGGATGTTTGATATCCTATTTTGGATTTCTGCGGGTCAAGGTCACTGTTTTTGAATGATGACTTTAAACAATTTTTGTGTTGTTTTTTGTTTTGTTTTGGCACATGGAAACAGCCAGGAAGCAGGAACAGAAAACATATACTTTTAAAGCAAAAATTAACTTACTGGTAGAAATAGTGAGATTAAAGCGAGGAGACATAAATTCTTCTCTTAGTTATGCCAGCAGTGTGATTTAAAATAAATCACTTAAGCTGAAACCGGTTTGGCTCAGTGGATAGAGCATCAGTCTGTGGACTGAAGTGTCCTAGGTTCGATTCCAGTCAAAGGCATATACTTTGGTTGCAGGCACATCCCCAGTGGGGTGTGTGCAGGGGGCAGCTGATCAATGTTTCTCTCTCATCGATGTTTCTAACTTTCTATCCCTCTCTCTTCGTCTCTGTAAAAAATCAATAAATATATTTTTTAAAAATAAAATAAATCACTTAATATAGATTCCACTTTGAGTAAAAGATCTACACTTAATGTTTTATGATAATGATGGATGAGAATAAAATTAACACATACAAAAGTACATCATTGTACACAATCAGATGATATATTAATGATAATGATTACTGTATAGGTAAGATAATTTAAATATTTAAATGAGCACCTACTATGTACCACGCAAAAGCAAGGTATTATAAATAAACAATTCCTACTTCAAGGAATAATGATAAAACATCTTCCAATTTAGATTTGAAAATGGCTTCCATCTTAGAACGAGAAATAGGATTTAAATACAACTAACAATGAACAAAGTAACCATTTTAATAAATCAAAAGACAAGAAATGTATCACATAATGAGGCAACTAAGCTAGAGGAAGGTATAACTTTCTCTTCAGAGATGAAGCCATTTCTTATCACTGTTACCAGCCAATTATGTACATACGGCATAAAGAGATTTACAGTAAACTGTAATTTAAATAAATGTAAAGAAAGAAAAGCAAAAATAAAATAAGAGGTTTATAAATTTATACTTACGCTTAGAAAAGAACTGAAAGTGTTTTTTTTTATTTCTTGCCTCTATTCCAGTTTCTCTAATTCTGTCTGGCCTCTTAGCTGTTCAAATGTCTTTATTTGAACTACATATATTAGCATGAAGTCATTATGACCACATGTGTTTTATCAGAGAGCCTATTCACATTCGGACAAACAAAATTCTGTCAACTGAGAAACACTTTGGAAAGCTTTAACCTTGTGAATGTTTTAATAGTCATGTCCCATTCAGGATATTTTCCTTATTTCCTGCCCCCAGATTAGAGCATATATGTAACTAAAACCAGTTTCCTCTTTCCCTGATACTGGAAGGAAGCCCGTGGTTTGCTACAGGGGTGACATGAACCATAGCGGGCATTTTGTCACTAGGAGGAGACATTAACAGAAGCCATTAAGATTTGGCGCTGGCATTTAGATGCAAGATTTCTACAATGTAGCAGATAACCTCAGTTGGCAAAGGATTTTCCCATGTATCACATGATTTGCCTGAGATTCATGCAGATGAAAAACAGTTTATAATTTCTGAGCATAAATCCTAACTCTTTATTACCTATAAATACAAAGTATTTTTGCGTGCCTTTTACATAGCAGTTTTCCAGAAGTAACTATTTACTGTTTTCATGGAAGGACAATTAGTATGTTGGTTTGTTCAGAACTTTTCTAAGAATTGTTCAGTTTGGAAAAATTACTTGGTGTATTTATGTGGTTGATGTAACTTACCTGACATAGGTAATAATAATAGCAGCAACAACGACAACAAAATCAAGCTGAAACTAATGAATCCTCTAATTTACATAAGATGCAGAAAACAGAAGAGCATATTAGCTAATAGATTAAGAGATTTAAAGGACAAAACTTGTACTTTGTGGCAATAATTTATATTTTAATTCAAGCAAATTACAAAAAATTTATATGACATTGGAAACATAAGCACACTGGGTATTTAATAATATTAAAAATTAACAAATATTTTAAGTTTGTTACGGCATCACCTACGTATTTTAACCATTTTATTTATTTATTTTAATTGAATTTACTGGGGTGACATTGGTTCACAAAATTATACTGGTTCCAAGGGTACAACTTAACAAAACACCATCTGCACATTGCTTCTGTGCCCATTGCCTCAAGCAAAGTCTCTTTGCATCCCCATTTACCTTCTTTTTGCCCCTCCTAGCTACCTTCTACCCCTTTCCTTCTGGCTAGCACCACACTGATATCTGGGAATCATCTTTTTCTTTCTTTTAAAAAGAATACTATTGTTTGGAGATACATAGTGAAGCATCCATATATATAAAAAGTCAGGGGCCGTCATGACCGAAACTACCAGAAGGACGACTGAACAGGCCGCGTGGGGCAGCCAGGCCAGCAGGGGGGTTAATGAGGCATGACCAAATGACTGGACAGCAGGCTGCATGGGGCAACCAGATTGGCAGGGGGGGCAGTTGGGGATGACTAGGCTGGTGGGGGGGCAGTTGAAAGTGACCAGGCCAGTGGGGGAAGGCAATTGGGGGTGACCAGGCTGGTAGGGTGGAGCAGTTGGGAGCAACCATACTGGCAGGGGGGGTAGTTGGGGGTGACCAGGCTGGCAAGGGGAAGTTGGGGACGACCAAGTTGGTAAGGGGGGCATTTGGGGTGATCAAGCCAGCATGGTGGGGGGGCAGTTAGGAAGGAAGGCAGGTGAACAGTTAGGAACCAGGGGTTCCATATTGTGAGAGAGATTAAAGTCAGATATCTCCCGAGGAGTCCTAAATTAGAGAGGGTGCAGGCTTGTCTGAGGGGACCAACCCCTGCCCCATGCATGAATTTTGTGCACCGAGCCTCTAGTTTATAGATAAAATGACCAGCATGGCTCAGTGGTTGATTATCAACCTGTGAACCAGAAGATCATGGTTCAGTTACCAGTTAGGTCATGTGCCTGGATTGCAGGCATGGTCCCTGGATGTGGGGCATACGAGATATTTCTGTTTCTCTCTCTCTCTCTCTTCCTCTCTGAAATCAATTAAATTACATTAAAAAATTTTGAATAACACAGAGAGTAGGGAGCAGATGTAGATGAAGAAGATGGGCCGTGACTTGTAATTTTTGAAGCTGAGTGATGTACATGGAGGTTCATTATACATTATATCTTTTTTTTTTTTTCCTGTAGACATTTGAAATTCTCCATAGTAAAATGGCTAAGAAAGGATCAGTGTGGGATGTGTAGACTTCCACCATCCTGAGTATCATCATCATGGCTATCTCTAGCTAAGGGAAGAGAGAGGTTCAAGCAAGAGCTGAAAGGGAAATGCAGGAACACTACTGGTTCTCTACCTAGGTCCTTTCAACATAACTCTGGACATGGGAATTTCCCCATTTTCCAAAATGAGGAGATGGAAATTCAGAGAGATAAATACCTCTTCCCAGGTAATATAGCCAATAGATGGCTCAGTCAGGATTTGGTCTCATATCCATTTGTTATGAAGATCCCCTCCACTGTACTCTCTGTTTCTCTGCTATAATCCTTGTCCACTATCTTCCTAAGTCCTTCCACAGTCACTGCCTAACTGCTTACCTACTCCTGAACCTGCTTTGTCCTGATCTTCCTATCTGGTCTTGAATCCCTCTCTCTCCCAACGTCTGGGTCAGTGTTCTGTTCACCCTTCCCTTGGTTGGGAAAATAAATATTGCTCGAGAAAATGAAGCCCCTTAAGAGTAAATATAGGGTCTAATAGGATTCTGAAAACTGAGTTTTATATTGTGATTTTTTACCTTAACTAAGAACAAATTTAAAGTGGCAAAATTCAGCAATTTCTAAAAAACAGGCAAAGTATTACATGTGCATAATTTTTTAAAAGCTGAAAAGCACAAAGAACTGGCTTTATGCATTCTAGCCCACTGTTTCCACATATGGAGAACATTTGCTCACTGGGGGATTTTATTAAATCAGTAATATAAATAAAATGTCTTGTGTGAATGAAGGCTGTATATATAAAGAGAATTTTCCTTCCCTCTCAGGCCATGGGTGGTAGTTTCCAAATTGAGTAATATGCACTTGAGGATTATAATTTAAAACATGACATGTCCCACTATCTAAGATTCAAGGAGTTTGTATATATAGGAATATAGTTTCACATGTGTATCTGCACAAATACAGAATAAATTCCTATTGTAAAGTATCTTGCTAGTCTAAAAGTGTACTGGGTTCATTCATTTTCTTCACACTGATCCATTTGTAACTAACATAGCCTCGAACATAGATGTTATTATTTTAACTTGAAGTCAAGGTCATGTTAAGGTCCTCCTGGAGGTGTTCACGGAGAGAATGAGAGACCATTTACTGGGAGGTTCAAGTTTCAGACAGTTTGTCCAAGTACCTTCACTGGATTTCCCAATCAAAAATTTTATTTCAACACATGCTAAGATCCTAGACCCACATGTGTGACACCAAGTGTCCAACAGTGGTTTGAATCCTCAAACATTCATGCCAATTTTAGCCATGGCTCATAAAGAACTACATAGGTATTTAATACATAGGGTA